GGCGGAGGACGGGGAGGAGGCGAGCGGGTGCGGCGGCGGCCGTCACCACCACCACCACCACCACCATCACCACCACGCGCACAGCAGCCACGCCCGCGAGAGGCACATCGGCCTGGCAGGCTTTGACAGCCGCATCATCGACTCTGTCATCATCGCCTGCATTCCCGCAAGCATTGACGACTGCGTGGACGACCCCATTGCGCTTGGCGCCCTGAACGGACTCGCGTACACGACGAGGCGGGAACCGGTGTGCCTCAGCCCTCAGCTGCTACATCACCTGCACAACCTGACAGACGCCTTCACGACATCGCCAAGGCGAAAAGAGCCGTTGCACAAGCGGTTTCTTTGCTGCCTCATGGAGGCGATATGCTGCGCGCGAGACGTCAATTACGCCCGGATGCGCAACTGGCTGCGCGCTGTGCTTCAATCGGATTATATATTACGAGGTCTTATGCAGAAGGATGATCTGCATGCTCGCGTGGCCGCCGCGATGCTGACGCTCTTGACGCGGTGGATTCAGGACGCCGTGGCAAACTGTACTTTAAATTTCAGCTCTGTGGGAGATTCACAGGAGGACATGGCTGCCTTTGCCTCCCGGGAAGAATGTACCGAGGCAGACACACTGCTAGGGGGTGTTTGGTCTGCCCTTCAAGAGACTGTGAACACGTGGGAGGATCTCCGGAAGACGAACATCACACTCTACGGCGATAACGTGCGCATCGTGGTGAAAAGTTTGCTGCAGGCGGAGCTGACGCGTGTGCAGTTGTACCGAACCATGAGTGGGCTGTATCAGCCGCCGCCGTCGCCAGAGCAGCAGCAGCAGCAGCAGCAACCGGGGGAGAAAACGTCGGCAGGAAGCTACGTGCCTTCGGCCGAGGAGGAAGATCTTCGCCTCCGTGTGATTGGCAATATTGTGAAATTCCTGCTTCTTCCGACGAGCCTGTTTAGCTTTATCACGGCAAAGGCGGTGGCGGCCCCACTTCGGCAGGACATCGCGGAGCAATGCGTCAAGGTGATTGCCATGACCGCCTCCGCCGAAGGCAGCGTGATATCCCGCTGGCGTCACACCTCGCCCTCCTCCGCGGTGGCGACGGCGCGGTACTCCCAAAACTACTACATCAGCCTCGAGGGCATCGTTCTCGAGTTGATTCGCCGCGTGCTGGAAGCCGGGGCGATGGGGGACCCGCACACCTCGCCGCCGCCGCCTCCTCTTGAGGAGGAGGAGGCGGCGGCCGGGGGCAAAACGACGGCGCTGTGCCTTCAGGGAATCTGCGCCACGAACTCCCACCTGCGCTCCTTTGCGGTGACGGAGTTGGTGGACGCGGTTGTGCGGCCCCCAGCCTCGCTCCAGGCGGCGGACACCGACGATGGTACAAGCGACAAAAAGTCTTTGCTTTCGTCAAGCAGGGCGGTTCCGCGCCTGTCCGTCTGCTTCGGGGTGATGAATCGCCTGCTTGTGTCGCGGCACCGCTCCGTGTTTAACCCGCTCCCGTACGACGCCTTGCATCGCTTTGGGAAGGTGTTGAGTGACATGTTCGAGGACACCCTACGGGACCACGTCCGCTCTGGCGACCTCGCCGACCCAGCGACACCGTTTCCCTGCGCCACGTTGCTGATGGTCTCGGAATCCTTCCTCGGCCTCGTGCTGCGCTTTCACGAACGCATTCGCGTCATGACTCGGGAGGGTCTTCGTCTCGTTACCGCCGGTCAGGCGGAGGCCAAAACCCGCGCAATTGAGGCCCTTAACGCGGAGAGTTGCGTCCTCCGTGCGCTTCTACGTGCCGTACTACGCTGCATGATCAACGTGGCGTGGCCGGAGTCCGGTATCCTCTACGGCAAGGACACCAGGCGGGGGAGCCATCACGCGCCGACGTTCGACGTCCACCGTGTCGCGGCTGAGACGCTCTCACTTCTGCTCCGTCCCCTCTGCCTGATCTGCCAGCTCTCCACGCTGTTTCCCGCGACGGACGTCCAGCAGCTTGTGTACCACCACGAAAATGCACAGAAGCTGACGCAGCTGGAGGGGTGTGAATTCCCCATGTCCCACTACTGCTTTCAGCCATCCAATATGGGCTCCCCCGTCTACGCCGAGAATGGGATGACGCAATTTCGTTCCTGCTGGCTCATGTTATGCTACTACCGCTTTGCTCAGGAAGCGCTCTTGCTGGCCGGGCCGGGGGCTTCGGTGGCGGCGTCCAACAAGCTGCGCGGGCAGAAAAAGGGTTTACTTGCGGAGAACAACGCCAAACTTATACGACTGCTTGCCGCTTCTATGCCGCCCCTCATGCATATGCGCTCCTCCGACTACCAGCAGGCCATGGCGGACATCGATGTTTTGAAGGGTCACTTATTTAGCACTGCTGACCTGGGCAGTGGCAATGCTTATCAAAAGGAGTTGGTGCATTCCCTCCAGCGTCATTGCCCCGAGGCCAAAAATGTAATAGCTCGTCTGTCTTTTTCTGAGGCATTTTTGGTAAATGCCCTCGCAACGCTGGAGATGCTGCGTGCCTCCTGCGGCTCCATCTCAGCTATTACGCAATACCAACACTATGAAGTTCGGGAATTTGATGCCAGTAAAGATGTTAGAACAATCTTAAAGCATGTAACAAAGACTGTGACAAATCGCTATATATCTGCTCTGCAAGAGATGCTCCCAGACTTTGCGGCGAGTATAATCGATAAGAACGCGCGACAGCTGGTACTACTATACGGATTCGCCATGGACTCTGTAGGGCTTTCTGCAAAGGAGATTCTCGGCAAGATTATTTCCAGTTTCCCGGAGTTTGCGGCAAGCAGCACGGCCCTACCTCTTTTGTGGGCCATCATCAATCTGCTGGAGGTGGGGAACGCCACGGAGGTGGAGCGTTTCTGCGAGCATCTGCAATTCCCAGAGACGCCCGCCGTGGCCGCCGATCCCGACTCTCTTGAGCGGCGGAAACAGTTGCAAGACGCGGAGGCCTTTGCAGAGTATTGGGCTCAAGCGGCGCGTCGCGGCTCTCCGCTGGCACTACTGGAGCACGCCACCTTGTTTATTGCGGAGGAGGAAGCCACCACTGGGGTGATTGGCTCTGCCGCCGGCTCGAGACTTGCCCTGCGTGCACACAACGTGAGCGCGGCCTCGGGCCGTCTGAACCTGAACTACGTCCACGTCCTCATGAAGCGGAGCAGTGCGCAGGGACAAGTGGCGGCGGCACTGCGTCTGACGCCGCAGTATGGGGTGGGCATTCTTCTTCTGCAGCAAATCCAGGAGATGCTGCGGGACAGGCTTGGACCGGTCACTCTGACCGCAACGTCCCGGGAGCGGCTCTTTGCGTCCTCGGTGGGCGCCGTTCACGCGGTCACCGAAGTGGAGCGGCGTCCCGACGACGACGGCGACGACGCCGGGGGAGAGGTGCGGGAAGCCAGCTCGCGCAGAGCGTCTTCCACGCGTGACGATCAGGCGGTGCTGCGACAGTTTTACGAGTCCGATAAGCTTCTCTGCACAGTTGCAGCATTTCTGCTCTCCGCACGGGCCCCCCACCCGTCGCACTTGCAACTTCTGATGCACCTTGTGCAGGGGCCCATTTTCTTGTTTTCAAGACACTCCATAGCGGCCGCCATTCAGGGTTGGAGGTGGCTCTTGTTTGAGAAGTCTGAGCGCTACGCGGTGCCGCTGCTGGCGCAACTGGTGGAGGGATTTCTCTGGACGATTATGCAACGAATTGGTTTATTTGACGGCACGAAACCTTCACAGGCAGATGCAGTGGAGTCTGGCGAGCAGGCGGCGTCGCTGCAGAGTATGGCTTTATACCCCAGAGACTATAATGCGAACTCACCACACAAGCTACTTATGGAGTTTCTGTCGGACTGCTACGTGGACATTCACGGGGCAGTCTCATTGCATCCGTCCGTTCTTTTACTCCTGCATCATCTTGCGATGCGCGTGGTGGAGGCGCCATCCCGGTTTTCTACCAAGGACATTTCCTTTTCGGAAACGATGCGGTGCGCCCTGTTGATAAGTTCAATCTGCCACAATTTGCAAGTGGCCAATGAAGGCCGCTTGCGCATCGGGTCACCTCTTCTGGTGGACTTTGCGTCGATAGGGAAAATTCGGCAAGGCTGGTATAAGTGTCTACTGCGGTGGTTTCGCAAGACACCGCCTTCGTGGTACTTCACGCGGGACCCCTCTGCCGCGGAGGAGGAGTTTGTGGCGCTGCACAGGCTCATCCGCGTCCTTGATAAGGATCGGGATGCATTGACGCATTCCACGCAAGGCTTTCTTGACTTTGATCCGTCTAGGGCCCATCCACACTCGACTGTGAACTCTACCCTCGTGGGGAGTCGTGTGCGTCGCGCACTGTGCGACGTTGCCTCCTCAGACTCAATGTATGCGTATGGGGTGACCCAAGCGGTAAGCACCAGCGAGCGAGGTCGCCTGTTGTCCCTCGTGTCTCTATTGAGACTCTTGGTGGAGCATGAACGCGTACGGCTTGCGGTGTGGCTGCGTCCCCGCGAGAAGGGTGGCGCTCAGTTGAGGGCGGATGGCACCGCCGGCCTTTCTGAGTCGGTGTGGGGAAGACACTGTGAGGCGGCGGCGAGGAATGACCCGGCGGTGTTGTTGGCGCTGGTGGCACGATTTCCCAACCCGCACGTGTTGGAGTGTGCCAAGCGGCTTGTGACCGCCAACCCCGAGGCCTTTTGCCACATACCTGAGGCAGTCGACTTGTACCTTAACGAAGAAGTCCTCATGAATGGCTATCCCGCGCTGGGCTTATTCACCAATTGCACGATTGTGCAGGCGCTGCGGTTCCTTGACAAGTCCTATACGACGCGGTACCCGCAGGTCTCCACGTATGCCCTTCGCAGCCTGTTGTCTCAGAAAAGTGAAAGCCTTATATTTTATCTCCCCCAAATACTGCAGGTGCTTGCCGGTGATGAATCCGGTGGCATCGCCGCCTTCCTGCGGAAGATGTGTGAAAAGAGTGAAATGTTTACGCATCAGTTGCTTTGGTCCCTGCGGACAGAAGGGGGAGGGGGAGGGAGAGTTGGCGGCGCGGTGTGCACAACTCGCCTCTGATGTGGTGGAAGGGCTCGATCCCACACGACGCGCCTTCTACGACGGGGAGTTCGCTTTTGTGGACAAGATCATTGCCTTGTCGGGTGAAATGAAGTCCGTGGAAAAGGCGATGCGAAAGGAAAAGCTGCGGCTTCGCCTGCGTGATGCGGAGTTTCATGAACCGGTGGAACAGCACCATTTGTACCTTCCTACGGACACGCACTGGCGCATCGTGGGCGTTATACCTGGCACGGCTGGCGCGATGCAAAGTGCGGCGAAGTGTCCCATTCTGGTTCAGTTTAAGTGTGTCCCCCGCAACACGGAGGATTCGCAGGCTGCCCTGAGGAAGCGCAAGGAGGCGGCGCCCGCGGACACAGAGACTACCATGAAGGCATGCATCTTCAAGATGGGCGACGATTGTCGACAGGATCAAATTGCCTTGCAGATCATCGGCCTGTTCGAGCGCATTTTCAACGTCATTCAAGTGCCCTCTTACTTGTATCCGTACCGTGTGGTGACGACTGGAAAGGATAGCGGTGTCATTGAGTGCGTTCCACGTGCGATGAGCCGAGATCAAATTGGGAAACTTGTGGAAAGCAACCTTGCAGAGTATTTTGTGCAAACCTACGGCCATCCGGAGTCTGTGACGTTTCACCGGGCCAGAGAATGCTTCATACGGAGCATGGCTTCGTATTCGGTGGCGTCGTTTGTGCTCAATATTAAGGATCGCCACAATGGCAATCTCATGATTGACGCGGATGGACACCTTGTGCACATCGATTTTGGTTTTTTGTTCGACCTCTCGCCGGGAGGGGACATTAATTTTGAGTCGTCCCCATTCAAGCTGACGGCAGAGATGGTGCAACTTATGGGGTCCCCTGTGGGCCGCGGAAAGGGTACGGTGCAGAGCCACTCCTTGTCAAAGGCATTGGTGGACCCGGAGGCGTACAATTTGTATAGGGATTTAACCGTTCGCTGCTACCTTGCGGTGCGCCAGTACGCTCGTCAGATTTGCATACTTGTGGAGTTGATGCTTGGCAGTGGGCTACCCAGTTTCAAGCCCCGAAGGACGATCCAGGACCTCGCCTGGCGGCTTTCCATGCAGAAGAGTGAAGTGGAGGCTGCCGAGTTTATGCTCCGGCGAATTGCGGAGTCGAGGGAAAACCTCCGAACAGTTCTTTACGACAGGTATCAAAATCTCGCGGAAGGAATAGAAATGTAGGGTGGGGTCCTCTCCTCTGGATCACCTGGTTCAGTGGGACGCCTGCGCCCGGCGTGCGGGAAAAGGCGCGCCACGGAGGGCGGCGCGCTGGAGCGGAGGGAGAGAGGGAGGGGGTGCTCGTTGTGTCCGCACTTCTTTTTGCATCTTGAGGGCTTGCGGAAGTAACGCCCGCGACGTCGGTAGGCGTGTGTGAACGCCCTGTAACAATCTCTTCTGCTCTCAATTGCCTCTGCGGAGGGCACGAAAAAAAAAACAAAGGAAGTTCTGAAGAGTAAAGTTTGCTCACACGGAGCGGTGGTCAAGCAGATGCTACTCCACAGCAACGCGGCGGCGGTTTTTTTTTTTGCTTGATTTTTCGCCCGGCTTGATGGGGGGTCGCGGGCCGGGAGTCCTCCCAAGGCGACCGGCAGAGAGACGGCGCGCGCGGCCCTGACAAAGAATGGGGTGAAAAAGAAAAGCCAACCGCCCTCGCAGGAAAAGGGGGCGCGCGGGGGTTTCTGCGTTCGTGCGGGTTGGCGGCGCGCGCTTCGAAGCGGGGGCGGATGCGCACGCGGTCGCCACCGTCGAATGCTGACGAAGTTGGGGAGGCGCACTGGTTCCGCGCTGCCCCCGCGTCGCCTCCACCAACGGCCCGGCGGACGAAGCACCGCAGAGGCACGCGAGTTGGCGCGCTGGGCGACGGCGCCGCGGGCACACGCTGCGCCGATGAAGGGCCGCGCGCGACTCATTTTCCAGGGCCGAGGCGTTCCCCGGCGCACTCGCTTTGCCGCGCCCGTGAGGAAGCGGAAGGCGTGCCCCGGCAGCCAAAAATAGAAACGCATGCGCTCTTGGCCCTTTTTACATCTGGTGCGCGAACCCGCGGCGGAGGAAGCCAGCGGTGCGTCGCCGTTTTAACGCGGTGCGGGTGTGTT